GATCCCCGACACTAACTCTTCGCGAAACGGGGTTCCAAAATAATCGGGCGATCCAGCTTGATTTAGATCGGCGCGAAACAGCTATCGGACTCGGCTCGTCGGGTCGTCGGCTAGGAACTAGAAAATAGGGCGCGATAGTAAGAATGTATAAACAAGTGCGATACCATCTCCTCGTCCNAATTCGGTGGACGAGGACGGCGGGCCCGGAGCCCATCAGGCCGATCCCGATCGGGGGGCTAAAGCGGCCCTCGCCACCGCCCGACGTTGCCTTCCCGCCCCAGAAATCACTTTTTCCTCATCCAGTGCCGCGTAAGCACCCCGCCATTAAACGATTCGATCCTATTCAAGATGCGAAATTTTCGTGAGAAATTTGACGAGACTGTGGAATTTTTCAAAATTTAAGGGGTGCGCCCTGTGCCCCCTGACCGCTTCGCGCTCCAACTCCCCGTGGCGCTTCGCACCCCAGCGGACCGATTATTGAAACTGATGGACAAAGCAATAGACAAAAAAGACATAGGTAATATGGAGCGATCCTATTGGTTGACATGGTTGGTTCTTATAGACTAAGGAAGAAAATGATGGACTAACTGTCGGGTCTTCAGTGGGTTGCCGTTAGTTAGTCCATTACCTACCTCCTATGTCCATTGCCACCTCCTGCTTCCACCAATAGGATCCCTTCAAATCCCTTTTGTCGTCTTTGTCTATAGCTTTGTCTAAAAGTTTCAATAATCGGCCCGCTGGTGTTATTCATTACCTACGAGTTTTTGTCATGATTTTAAATCGATGGCCTGCGGGGCGATTATTGAAATGATATCGACTGTATGTCAGCNGTATGCTTAGTCGATGGCGCGACACGACAAAGCGCTGACATACAGTCGATATCATTTCAATAATCGCCCCGCTGGGAACAATACCGCTTATCAAAATACTGACGATTTTGCAGGTCAAATTCTGAGGCTAGATTTGCAGTTCGCGTTCGCATCTACCACAGTCATACCACCTATGACAGGGCTACGCGAAACAGGCTTTCGATTTGTGAATGGAGGAAAAAGTCTACACCCTCTAACGTAAAGCACACCCAAAAATTGATGTCTTGAAGGCCCTTTAAAATCAGACGAGAGACGACTATGACTTAAAACATGGTGACTCCGCGCAAGAAGGAAAAAGTTAGGGGCGAAATTGCCGATGGAACACTTTACGTCGAGTTCGGTTATGATATCGGATTTTTCGACAACGGTGGAAATTCCCTTGCGTGTCCTGTAATATAAGTAAGTTGCGAGAGGCACATCTCATGTTTATAAAATAGAAGGCGATAGAAGGCGTAATTTGGCATTGAAATCCGTACATTTTGAACCTTGAATGTGGTAGAGGAAAGGAACTCCAGAACATTACTAGAAACGGCAGAAGTGAAAACAAGTTTGGATAAGATACTCAATTAACGTTTAATCCGAAAGGTTGCGCTAGCCCTAAAAATCAGTTAATTTAACTCTAGGTACTAAAATGTCCTACATTCACCTCAATATTTCATTGCGGGGCGAAAGGAAGTTTTGTTCGTGGCTCTACAGTCGGATTGAGAGCGCCGTGAAGTTCGCTTTGATCTCGAGCAACTATTTTAACTCTCCGGAGATCAAATTGCATACCCATCGACTTGAAGGAACTTAGAGTGAATTCGATGCGTTGATTAGTGACTCGGAGATAACTGCGTTGTGTAACGATACCAGTGAAGGTAAAGCCGAATTATGGCGATCATGTTTCGTGAGTAATCGACAAATTGAAAGAAGTTTGAGTCAAATAATCGCGGGTTTTTTGTTTAAAAAAAAATATTTGGTGGCAGGTAGAACATTAAAACGCAGGCAAAGTCTTGGAAGAACATAATTCTTATTTCTAATCGGATAACTTGAAAAGTATGAAACAACAACATTTATAGGGGCGGATCCAAGACTCGAACTCCCCTTCACTCCATGAAGTTTTAGGTTTTACGCTTTCTCTCCAGCGGCGAANGGGGGGGGGGGGGGGTGAGAGAGGAACCCGATGACATGTTTGCTTGTTCTTTCTTTTTCCTCAACCTGAGGTTGCGCAGTTAAGGTAAAAATTATCAAAATGGCAGACCTATAGATCGAATTTTTTAAAAACACTGGTTAGATTTTTTGTGAAAATGGGCAGTTTTGAACTATATTTCAGTTGGCTGTTGGCTACCCATGACTCATGGAAAATCTCATCTTGAAACCTTGAATCAAATCTGAAAGTATCCGAACGCAAAATAGTGTACCTAGCATTTTTAGTCAACCCCGGTGAATTTTTCTTGTCTGGATACTTTCAGTCCTTCTCCAGGGTTTCTTAAAATATACTTTTCAGAAATAGTCAGTTGAAATAAAAAAGGGCAAAAATTATGTATGATATCTTAATGTTTGTTTACTTCCGATTTAAATTCATCTCAAGTCCCCAACAAGTTTCAGAATGAGAGCTTCAATAGGTGCGTAATTAATTACCTTAGTCGTGCACCACTGGCCAAGAAGAAGGGCTTGCACCCCCCTTTGTAGCTTCCACTTAGAATGTGTGAGGACAACTTCAAAGCCTGTATCAACAATCAAACTGGGGGCGCTCAAAGCAGCCCATCTTTGACCTGAGCACGGGCTTGCATCGCTAGCCAATGAGAGGGCTGAAAAATGCATCGATGAGCCCCTTTGAGACCTCCAGACTTGAGGCTCTAGTTTGACCATAAGAAAGAGGCTTACTTAATTGAAATGACTTCGGGTGGAAATTAGGCCTGAACGAATTTTTCAGTATCCCCCTGGGTTTTCCATCGCGGCTGACTAATTTCATGCGGCCTAACACAATGAGCTATGACGCGGAGAAATCGCCTTCTCCGAGAAAAAATTTGCAAACTTATGAACCTCATCTAAATTATCCAAAATGTAAATTCTCCGCCTCACTAAGTAAGCTGGAAGTCCAAGCGGTACGAATGTATTGGAACGTTGCCAAAACTTTGCGTTCGTTTTGCTTTTTCTTTGGTGGAAAGGGCTGGAAAAAATCGATTCCACTGTCCTTGACAGTTCATAATACGCGATTATCCCGAGATGGACGACTTTTGTCAAGCTCGCATTGGCCGTTCCTAAATTGCGTAATCCTTCAAGGGTTGGTATTGAGCGAGGCCTTATGTAACGATTTCGAATAAATTTTCGCGAGTTATCAAAGTCGTCGAATGTCGCCGACGGTTTCAGTGAATTTGGAGTCCAAAAAACCCAAGTGGAAAACTGACATTCTTCGGTCATATTTTTGACTCCATTATTATGTAATGCTACAAACAACTTAAACACAATTTTTCTTTTTTCAATTTTCGTTATTTGGAGAGGAGGGGCAGTAAACGTAATTTTGTGTATACTTTGGGTATACTTTGCGTGTATACTTAGGGGCGGTATTCGGGAGGCATCGGTAAAGCGTGCGTCAAACAAAGATAAGGCTAGCTACGAACACTGACAATGAGTAGATCCGATGCCTCACAGTCCTATCCGATAAGCCCAAATTCAATCTGTACTTTGGAAAGTTCACATTCTAGAGAGGAAGAGGGGGCAGTCTAATCCAAATTGGTGACGAGAGGGCAGAGAGTGAAGGAGGGTCTAACACAGCATACCGTCACCATCAACTCACCGTTAAGTACCGATTTTTTCAAAGGCTTTCAATTATTTAGAAAAACTATCGATGAGGAATGCCGATTCTTCAATTACTAAATGAGGTTAGGGGGGGGGGGGGGGGAGTCAAGTGAAGTGTGACGTCATTTTTTAGGGGTGGGCGTGCAGACTTGCGTGACAGGTCCGTGACAAGTGGCGAGGAGTCAAGGGCACGGAGTTTTCGCGGGGTTGTAGTGTAGTTTTCCGTCCGTCGAACGTCGTTAAAAAGCCAATAAGCTCACCGAAATGTTCGGTCAATTATTTGTAAGGAGTAAACAGCTAATCAAAATCCTACCGGTCTGAAGCCGAAGTTGAGCTGATGGAGCAAGGCGATGCCTGAATTCGAGTCCAGGCCAAGGGACCGTCCTTAAATTACGTAACTCTTTTTTTCGGCATTTTTGTCCCCACTCTCACCCCCCCCCTCCCCTCCACAATCCATCATTGTAACGCATTTGTGACGTGGATCTATATCCTTTAATAACACGTAAAAACAAAGTGGTGTAACGCTCTCTTCGAACCCCCCCCCCCCCCTCCAGAGCGTC